CTTCAGATAAATGTGGAGACTTAATTAACTGGGAAGCCTTGCTGGAAGTCGCAAGTCTGTTGGAAGGCAGAGCAGGATTCAGCATCAGGGTTGTTCATTTTCAGGTGAACACACATTTCATTGCACCATATGGACTTCTTAACAATCATGAGAGCTAATTTAAGGGCACTCATTCCAAGGATGTACTAATGCCATTCAGTAATGCTGTTACTGCTCACAACTCCGCTTTGAAACCTTCATGTGCAGTAGTTTTCTTCTGAATATATGCAGCTCTAAACTACTTAAGGAGGCTTGAAAAGAACCTGAAGTGCGGTGAAAGAAATGGATGAACAAATGGGACATGCAGTTGATATTAATGATTTAGAAGTATAAAACATAATGTATTTTAAATACTATATTATTTTATCATTACATTTTCTATGAATATAAAATGAGTTGCACTTATGAAGTCACAAAAATATTTTGGGAGGTGGAATAAATATGTAGCTTCTGAAAGTAATTACTTTGATAGCTATGATACACATTAGTATGTATACGTTTTTGTAAAAAGAGTTCTATTTTTCTGTATCACAATGTAGTTTTCCTTTGGAAGACAGATAAAGCATATACATATATGTTATGAAGTTTTCTGAAATAAAAGTATGCAGTTGAAAGTGTCCATGCTTAAGTTATTACTTTAAATTACCTTTAAATTGGAAGAGTCATTACAGGGCTCTTTTTCATCATCACTGTTTCACCCTCGATAGTAATCGTAGGCAAAGAAAATAAATGCAGAAGATAAAAGGGCTTTATTTTTCCTCTTGTTAAGAATGAAAACGGTAAAAGAGAATTAGCTGGGTAAGTTAAAACTATAGAATTTGATCTTTTAAGGTATTAGAGGATTTCATGTTTGGGCAAGGGAAAGCTGATGAATTGGATGTAACTGACTTTGTTGACAAGTCTGTTCATGGTTAGCAGACATTTGGTCCTGTCCAAAGCGCCATGAGACATTTGGTCCTCCTCTGAAAGTCTTTGAAATTTCTGTGTATGCTCAGTCATGTCCAACTCTTTGTGACGCCATAGACTATAGCCCACCAGGCTTCTCTGTCCATGGGATTCTCCAGGCAAGAATATTGGAGTGAGTTGCCATTTCCTTCTCCAGGGGATCTCCTGACCCAGGGATTGACTCCAGGTCTCTTGCATTAGCAGGAGGATTCTTTATCACTTTGCCACCTGGAAAGCATCTGTGAGCATATTTGGTTTTGGACATGACCAAATATGGACCTTTCATATGGACCAAGTAAATGTCTCCATGGATGTTTTGGAAAGGACGAAATATGAACAAATATCAAGGACCTTTTGGTATGGAACAGTTGTCTTACAGATGTTTCAGACAGGATTGAATGATCCTGCAAGGCTGTTCAGTTTAATGTATATGGATCTTTTCTAGAAGGTTGGTATCTGGAGAGTGTAACTCTCAGATGCCCTGGATGCGGGTGCTTCTGTAAGAGTTTTTGTATTAGCTACTACTCTGCATTTGACAAACATCATTACTTACACCTGCAGGGCATTGTATTTGCCATAGTCCACAGCCTACCTCCAAAGCTATTTTAATGTTAATGCAACAAATTTCATTGTAATATTTCATAATTGAACTTCCAGCCTTTATTAATAGTATTGTTAATTAAAAACACCTTCACTGACTATGTTTGCCTGCTCATAATGTATAGGTGTCAGCTATTAATTCAACATTTAGCAAATTCATTGGGCATCTGTGTTGCAGTCCATGTACCAGGCAGAGGCATAGAAAGCCATCTCTACTGTGACCACATTGGTCAGAGTCAGCTTCCCTTTCTCTCCTTCCTATTGACGTCATCAAAAGTCACTTGACATTTAAAAACCACTGTCTCATTAAAAGGGGAACTGACTTCTCAGGCCCCTGTGTTCACTCTGAGACAGGAAGGGTGTAGACAAACCATATGAATCTTCAAAATTGTATGATTTTCTCACTCGTGCAAAATCGGGCTTCTGTGAGTTTGGAGAGTCTTTGTGCCCCTTTTGAAGTCTAAGAACATTTTGTGTCCAAGTGTGGTTGGAAAGAGTCAGGATGAGAAGTGGCTGGTTTGAGGGCAGCCTCTTGCTGGAACTTGCTTGCTCATTCTCTGGGACCCTGCTCAGAGACTGTTTTCACTCTGAAGTCTGTCCTCATTTCTCTTGAAGTTAACCACACCTCCTCTGTGCACACAGGGGAGCTGCTTGCCATGTAACTTTTCCAGGTCTCCAGGTGAGGCAGGGGAATTCCTCCTCACTTATCGTGGCAAGTCCCATATTAACTGTGACCCCCACGCTCAAGGGAGTTCCATGGTTTGTTGCAGTTAATCTTTTCTACCTGTATCCACATCAGTCTATATTGTTATCCCTAGCTTAGTATAGCAAGCGTCATTGTGCAGGAAAGACTCTCAGTTTTGTTTACTATTTTACTCTCAAGATTATGGGAAAATGAGTTTGTGCATTTTAAATTCTATAGGTTTAAGCTGTCCAAAATTTTCGGTGATAAGAATAGCTTCTATGTACCTACAAATATGATCTTTCCTGGTGGCTCAGATGGTAAAGAATCTGCCTGCAATGCTGGAGACTGGGCTTCGATCCCTGGGTTGAGAAGATCTCCTGGAGAAGGGCATGGCAACCCACTCCAGTATTCTTGCCTGGAGAGTTTGCATGGACAGAAGAGCCGGGAGGGCTACAGCCCATGGGGTTTCAAAGAGTCAGACATGACTGAAAGACCAAGCACAGCACAGCAGCACATATTAAAGGACTTTTTAGAAGCAGAGACTTTTACTTAATTTACGAAGAATAAGATTTAAGGTCAAGAAGTAAACTGAAAAGATCAGAATGTGTTTGATCTTACTGGACTATGGGTGCCTCTTTGTATCCTGTGAATCTAGCACAGGGCCTGGCACTTATGATATAGTAAGAGCTTGATAAATGTTGACTGGATGAATAATTGTCTGTGTTCATTGGTCCACATTAAGAGGCAATTGTTGTTGGTTTTTTTACCTTGTTTGGAAGAGATTAGTATGTTCCAAGACAGAAAATCAAACCAGAAAAATTTAGCATAAGGTATTAAGGCATTGAAAGCAGGAGAAAGAGACATGAGGAATTTGGTTATTAGCTGAGACCACTGTGTGTGTGTGTGTGTGTGTGTGTGTGTGTCCCTCTTTCTGTCTTTCAGCCAGAAAAGCACCGGCTTTCCAAAATGCATGCTCTTCCTCTGTTTGTTTAAGTGTTTTTTCAGATAGCCTGATTCATCCTTACAGAGAACTGATTTAGTGGTTGAGGAGTTTATTTCAAGTCCTACATGCAGGATGAGGTTTCTCTGTAAGAGATGAGGTGACTGATACGGATGCAGAGATTAGAAAAAAAAAAAAAAAGGTATCCACCTCCTTGTGGCTTTGGCTTCAAATAATGAAGCTTGAGAAAAGAATGAATGTGAGCAAAGAAGATGGACCATATCAGTTGAAAGGGAAAGAGATTGCAAAAATTTCTACTTGTTTACACTATGTTTATAACATACTAACATACATACTCTTAGCAGGCACTTTTGAGCTCACTGGGAGCTGACTAGTGGTTTATATATAAATTTATTTTTTTCCAGTGTTTCATTTATAAGCTTGACTGTCTTTGTCTTCTTCAGCTGTGTGGTGTTGCGTTTTCATGTTTTGGAGACTGCAAAGATCCTGACCTGTGTATATGTGCTTGTGTAATGGTCTTTTGTTAAGGCATCTGGGAAATTGTGTATTTTCAATAGAGAAGAAATTGTGTCCCAGGAGTTTGTAAATCACATTGTCTTGTGGTGGGCTGTGCAAAGACTTCTGTGAAACCTCCCAACGTCCAAATGGTTCCAGCTCCGGTGAGCGGCCACCATTGACAAAGCAGAACTCATCCAGGTCCCACTGCTAAGAAAAAGCAGAAGAGCTGATAGTGAGTCAGCTGCCTTGGTGAGCAACCGTAAACACAGTTAGCTTTAAGCCCAGCAAGTTAAAAGAACCTGCAAGTTAATCTCTTTTGTTTTTCTTAGTAGTGTTTGCTCACCTTTCTGTGGGTTCTATATTTTTTAAACATCACAAAGCATTGAAGAGAGCAATTCTCTCTACTTTGTATATATGTGTATACATATATGTATGCTCAGCTGCTAAGTCATGTCCAACTCTTTTGCAACCCTATGGACTGTAGTTCACCAGGCTCCTCTGTTCATGGGATTTCCCAGGCAAGAACACTGGAGTGGGTTGCCATTTCCTCCTCCAGGGGATCTTCCTGACCCAGGGATCAAACCTGCATCTCCTGCATTGGTAGGTGGATTCTTTAGCGCAGCGCCACCTGGGAAGCCCTGTATAGATATATATGTGTATATGATATGTGTGTATATATATTGATTGCACCCTGTACACACACACACACACGTATATATATAACATGTATGTATATATATATATTGATTGCATATGCAATCAATATTGCATAGGATAGTAACAACGGATAAGTAAGATGACTAATTGGGGTAGGGAGAGACTTTCACTTGAAGATACACTATTTTGGGTAAAATTGTCAAAGTGTTACTTTTAGAGCCTTGGCATGTTAGAGTATCTGTGTGTTTCATAATTTTTCCAGGTGAATGTTTCAATTCCTTTACATATTATTTAATTTTAACACTTTATTACAGGTTAAAATATGTAAGGAGATACCAAAAGTGGTTAATATTCTCCTTCTTCTTTCTTAAATTCCTAACTAGAATTTTCATTCTTTTTTTAAGTTCAAATGACATTATATTCATTGCTTTTTTTCCTTTCCCTCCATGCTGTCATTACTGCTTTTTAAGCTTGTTTTATTTCACATTGTATCAAGAACATATCTCCATAAGTAGATCTGACTGGGTCTTACACATTCTTTTTAAGAGCCATAAAATATCCAGTAATATAATAGATATGATTTATTCAACCCTTCTTTTCTTGATGTACTTTCAGATTATTTCTAATGCTGCAACAAACGTACCAGGGAATTAAAAGAGCCCAGTTCAGAATCACCTTGTGTATTCAGACACTTCCCAGTGCTGTCTAAGTCACCAAAATCAGATGACTTCACTATAGAAAGCCGATGGACTGGGCTTGTCTTGTGGTGGAGCCTAATATCCTGGTCACTCAGCATCAGTCACAGGCTCTGAAAGGAAGATGGTGCCCAGTGAGAGTTTGGAAATGGACCAAGGAAAGTTCTGCAGTAAAGTAATCTGTTGTTTGACCTTCTGCATATCCAGTTTTGTTTTGATCTTACATGGTAGTTAATGATTATAACATTGACCGACTTTTAGTTTTGTGATAGTCTTGTTTTCTAATACCAATCAACAAAAAAGGACTAATTTAGAAAGCCTATGCAGAAATAACAGTATAAAGGCAAAAACAAAAACTTTCAAAATAGGAGTCAATAGCAATGAAAAATCTTGGAGCTCAGAATTTTTTCTTTCATGTTGATGACCCACCCTCCAGGCCACCTTTTGGAAGTTTTCTTTCAATATGCAAATTCTAACTCAAGACTCCTTTGACATATCCCATCTTGCTAAACATAAAATATATAACATTTAAGTATTTTAAAGAGTGTGTCTTAATATTCTTATATCTATTGTTATCTTCAGTGTTAAGATTTTGGACTGTCAGGACAGTAAGAATCAAAGTATTCATGGAGCTTCTCTTCCAAACTTAGCATGAAGTTGCTTCCTAGAAATAAACAGTTGATTGTGGTCATGGCTTCTTGTGTGATGTTAATTGGCTGAGGACAGAATAGGGGCCTGCACATGGGGGTCTGTTCCCTAGCTAATGTCAAGTGTCCTTCACAAGCTGTAGAGAAGTGATCCTAATTGAAATTTGTCTATTGTAAGTGTGGGATGGGGGGCACGTGGATAACCAGAGGTTCAAGCCAGAAAGGAATACCTATGCAAAAGCAGGGAATTTCTTTTTCTTTCAACACAAATGTATATAGAGTTGACCTTTAAACAGCATGGAAGTTAAGGCCATCGACTGCCATTCATCTGAAAACCTGTGTATAATGTTAGAGTCGGCTCTCTGCATCAGCAGTTCTCCACCTCAGGATTCAACCAACCATGGATTGTGTAGCACTGTAGAACATACTAATTGGAAAAAACCCACATATAAATGGTCTTGTGCAGTTTAAACCTGTGTCATTCAAGGATCACCTGTATATAATTTTTTTCTATTTAAAAAGTAATGAAGGGCAGAATCGGAATTGGCTGTTGTATGGCTGTCTGTGTATATCACCAGAGTTTAGAAGGATAATTTTGTAGTAACCCATGTCATCTTGCTTTCAGAATGAACTGAAACTGAATTTGCAACCTTGCATGCTAGGTTAGGAGTTGTTCAACTCGAAATAAGTCACTTAACCTTTCTGAGCCCCAGTTTCCACATTCATATAGTGAGAGTTATTACTCACTACCTCATTGGGTTATTGGGAGATTTATCTGAGATAATACATGTGAAAATGTTTGTGCAGTATTGAATAAATTCTGCTTTCCCTTTTTTAAAACTCAAGAGGTCTTTCAATAAGATGTTTCTTGTTAGGACCAAAGGGGATACATAAGAGGTGGTAGTATAAATAAAACTTAGTGAGAGATGAATAATGATGCCAATAATCAGACATATGGTTTTATACTTAGAAAGAATTTCCATGTTCTTTGTTTCATCTGTTCTTCTGTAGAATCCTGTGAATCAGTCAGGCTAATTATATAGGTGAGGAACTGCAACTCAGAGAAATTAATTCAATTAACCAATATCATCTTGTGGGTCTAGCATGGAGTGTTCTTTCTGACTAACAGTCCAGTTACTTGATGTTGTCAATGCCAGACAATTGGCAAACACCCAAAAGTTAGAAGTCCAAAATAATGTCTGAAAATCTAGCATTGTTCTCAGCTTTACCATGATTCCTTTAGAGATGAGAGCATCTGGGCCCACATGAAGCTCCGTGTGCATTTTTGGGGTCCCGTGAACCAAAGAAAGAGTGTTTTTGATATCAGATGCACCATAATTTGTGACTCTTTTCACTTCATGTTTACCATTTCCTGAATTGCAGTTAACTGGTTGGGAAAGACTCCCTTCTAACTTCAGTGAAAGGTTTGATTTGCTTCGTGTAGGTCAAGGTTCATCTATTTCGGCCATTAGGTGCCACAGATGAGTTTCTTCATCCATTGGTTGATACTCAGCACATTCTATGTGAGGATGTTGTCTATCCTAGTATGTATATCCTTTCTTCTCCCCTTGGAGTGTGCAAGTCCCCTAAAAATGGAGACTAAATCCTTTTTTTTGTACTCTCAAGGCCCAGCTGAGAGCCTAGCATTTAATGGATTCTCAAAAAAAGAGAAAATTCCTGCTGCAGCTGCTGCTTTTGAGATACTATTCATTGTTGACTTCTTAGGAGAGTTTTCATTAGAAAACATCATATGAAAGAAAGGGCTCATTTTAGAATAAGCAATGTCTGCTACCTCCCTCCCTGTATAGTGAATGGTCTCTTGAGAATTCTTTCATAGAGGCAATTGCTGGGAAGATAAATGATGTTTAGGAAGGCACTAGTAATTGACCTGTCCACTTGAAGGCAAGAAAAGGTAACACAGGTTCTACCCTCCCAAACACAAACATGAGACTGTTGAAAATTATGCCTGAAGCTAGAGCAGACAGACAAACAGCTGCCATTGGGGTAAAAAGGCTTTGAGATAAAGTTGAATTTCTTATTTCTAAAGAGGAAGAACAGAGTGTTGTTTTGTTTGGTCCTTACAAATTATAGTGATTTGGTTTCAGCCTGAACAAGCACCACAAGCAAATACTGGCAGGCAGAGTCTCCATGGGAGTGGCCAAACAAATCTGTTTGCATTTCCTCCCAAGCCCTCATTTGGCTGATCCAGCCATAGAAAAGCAGAACAAAAGGCAAGAGATTACTGCACCCTAAAGCATCCAAGTGCTCCTTTGGGCTCTACAGTTATTTATAGCCATCTGGCTCCCACTGAGGCCTTCCTGTTCCATCCAGTGATTGTACAAATGTGCAAATAAAAGCTCCAGGACCTTGATGCAGGGTGCAGTCAATGATTAGATTCTCAAGGCTTCTGTGTTGTTGATGTAGCCATGGCTTTTAACCATTAGTGTGAACGTGGATCTTGGAATAGGCTCATCTTCGTCTTCATGTGCACATTCTATTTGTAGATGTTACTATGAGGACAGATTCACCCAAAATGACGGATGTGGAGCCTGTGGTCAACAATTTTGCGTCATCAGCACGGGCAGGTCGCCGAAATGCTGTCCCAGACATCCAGGGTTCAACAGCTGCAGGCGGGACCTCAGAGGAGTTGCCCGTCAAACTGGAAGCCCTATCCGTGAAGGAAGGTAACACTCAAAATCCTCTTAGAATCAGTGGTATTTCTCTCTTCCTCATCCTTTCCTCGGGAACCATCTCCCCTTTAACTAGTTAAACTTGTTTACTAAGGTCTCTCAGCTTTTGTTTAAAGCTAAGTAGATCTCTCCAGTGTTTCAGAAAGTGGCCTTCTCTCTTTAATCTCCTGATGTAAATGTGGAAACTGAACATTTACTTATTCGTTGGGTATGTATAGTTTTGCACAGTGCTAGTGTTTGGGAATACAAAGGTGGACAGTTATAATCCCTTCTTTCAACCAGCTTACAAAATTTTTTGAGTTGCTCTCAGAAATAATTTTCCTTCTGCCATCCGTTGGCAAATCACTGTGGAAGCTTCTGCTCCATCATGGTATTCTACAAGCTCTTCTATTTATTGTATCTCAGAATAAATTTATTATCAATTAGAGATGAGAACTTTAAGGTGGGTGTTTGTATAAAGGTTGACCTTTCTCTAACCAGTAGAAAAAGTTGGATTCAGAAAAAGCAAGAGCTATCAAACCCCTGTAGGAAAATCTTGAGTCTTTCACCCCACTGCTTATACACTGTTCTTAAATCTTCTAGTGATTAGTTCTGTGAAAATAAGTATAATAATACTGTGCCCCATTTTAGACTTCAAAGTGGACTCCAGTTTGTGTGTTTATTGTGTTTATTCCTAGTGGCAGTGAGGCAGGAGAGAGCTGGAAGCTCCGAACTTCTACCCTATTCATATGAGCCCCAGAAAAGGGCTCCTAGTTCTTTGCCTCAGGAGGTCACTTTCTCCCTGGTAAAGTTACAGACCTCCCAAATGTTCCTGCTATGATCTCTATGAAATACTTTTATCCTTGTTAGACCAGGGACTGTGGCCAGACCCTGGAGTCTGGTTGGACTTACCTTTTTGGTTGAGTTACCTCACTTTTTTCTAAAAGTAATTTCATGTCCCTTAAGGGATTCTATAAATAACAGAAAAAATATATATATATACATACCCATAAATTATCATAAGATAAAAGATGAAGGAAATTAAAGAAGATAAAATATGTGTAGTGCTTTCGGCTTTTTAAGTTCAAAAGTATAATATGATTATGGTTATCAGGGCTTGAAGGACCATCCTTAACTTGTGAGGTAGAGAATATAAGTTATTTGTTCGTGTAACAGGTCTAATTAAAGTGGATAGCCCCTAAACACATGCACAGAACTTTAATGCTTATTGACATTATTTAGTTAAACAAAAGAGAACAAATATACGGTATGAAAGTTAGTAGAGTCTTCATTTTATCTTGTTCACTGGGAGAGACTGTTATCTGAAAGAATACTGTTTCTATTTTTATACTTTCCTTTAAACCATTTTCAAATAAAGTTGAAGATACTAAGAAAATCCAAATGTTAAAAGTGAATTAACATGTAATACCAGATGTTAAAGAAAACACAGAAGGAAGTAAATTTATATGTGTAGATGGCCTTGATAATGTGTCACTAACAAAGTTATATATAAATAGCTTTAAGGTCTGCTTTTGGTTGTTGTTGTTAGCTAAGTACAGACATTCAGGATTTAAAATTGTTTTTAAAGTGGTTGCAGTTTTCAATTGCTAATAATAACAAAAATCTGGGGTCTGTCTCAGACATTGTGGTTTCAATGTTTTTAGTCATTTAAAAATAGAAATTTTGGGAAAGATCTTCAAGTTTCCCTCCGATCAGTCCTGTTTTGGTTTTCTTTTTTGATATTCTTAAGTGGGAAGAAATCTAGGCTGTCAGACATCCTACATCTTACATGAAATTAACCTGCCTAAAATCTTCATAGTTCACAATCTGTCTTAATCTATCCCTTTAAAATTGATAACTATGGTAGGGAGGACAATGATGCCTTATAACATATCAGCAAGAGGTGACAGAGGGTGGCAGCTTAGGAAACTAAATGTCACAGAGGGCCTCTCTCACCTTCCACCATCTCTTAACTACTCATTTGATCCATCATTTATCTTAGTGGCCAGTGTGAGCAATGTGGAATACCCAGGTTCAATCCCTGGCTCGGAAAGATTCCCCTGGAGGAGGAAATGGCAACCCACTCCAGTATTCTTGCCTGGAGACATATTCTGTCAGAGAATTAAAATAGGATGCTGTGGTAGAGAGTTACTGGGTGGCTCCTTTAGGTTGAGAAATTCAGGAAGTCCTAACTGAAATAATATTTTGGGTAACAACTGAATGGTCCAGGCAGGAAAGTAAGAGGGAAGGACATTCTTCGTAGAAGGAACAGCTTGTATAAAGCTCTTAGAGTAGAATGAGATGGACATATCAAGAAACATAAAATCTGGCCACAGGTGAGAAGGGAGAATAGAGATGACATTGGAGAGTAAGCAAGGAATAGCTTTCTTAGGGCTTTAGAAACCTGGGTGAATAAAGAGGATTTTATTCTAAATGTGAGGGAGATGATATTCATGTTTGAATATTTGAATATCCACTTTGTTACGTGAGGAATGGACTGTAGGAGAGAAATAACAGGTGTAGTGGAGTTAGGAGGTGCACTCCCCATTAGGAAATCTTTGGGGGCCAAATTAAACATTCAGACTCATAAGACCACATTTGGTGGCAGTCTGATCAAAAATATACAGGTTTAGAAACACAGCGGGCCAGAAGAGCCACATGACATCATCTCCTTCTGTGTGGGTCCCCGCAGAAGTCCATATAAGCAGTCATGGGGGCTAGTCTCTGTGCATCCCCACCCCACCACTCACTGAGAACTCAGGCGCAAGGCGACAAGATTTGCACCAATGGGAGCAATGGTGGGTTAGAAGCCTCATGTCCCAGGGAGTTAATACTTTGCAGTTAAGTCCATGGACACTACAAGAGACATGCTCAGTTACAAGAGTCATGACCTTTATGGAATCCCAGTGCTATGGTTCCCTACCAGTTAGCATATAGTTTCTCTCAGTACAGGTGTATTTTACCATTTGGGTCATTTCTACCATACACTTACTAACCGTGCTGACATACCAACATAATCTGGTTTCCAGGGTAACAGAGCTAGAAAATTAATCTCAAGTCAAATTTGCCATTAGAGCAGGAGAAAGGATTCGTTAAGCTTTTACCCATGGAACAGTTGCAGAAATCTAGTGAGAGATGATGGCTTTGAATAGGTTATGAAGATGGATGGAATTGGGTGGGTTTGGGATATGTTTTATAGGCACAATTCATAGGACTTAATGATGAACTGATGTGGTAGAGATGACTACAAGCAATGAAGAAGAGAAACAGAGGATAATTCCTGAAGCCAACAGGGTAGATGGTGATGCCGTATACCGAGAAGGGCCAACGTGGAAGAAAGGCAGTTTTAAGGGTTAGAGGAGTGATTTCTGCTTCTTCCATTTGAGATGCCTGTGAGACATCCAAGTGCTGTCAGCTCTACTTTCTAAATTGGCTCAGAAATCTGCCAGTTTCTCCCGCAGAGATCTAGTCTCTTGGTATCCGTGTGACCCCATTTTCTGTCCTTTCTCTGCACAGTCCCCATGGCAGTTCTTTCCTGCACGTTGCTGCCTTTGACCTTGATGTTTTCTCTGCTTGGAATGCTCTTCTCCCTGCTACCTACCACGCTAACTTCCTCACCTCCTCAGGTCTGGACTCACACGGCCCCTTCTCAATGAGACATTCCTAGCTAACCCAATTTAAAATTGCAATCTCCAGGCCCCAAAACTTCCTGACAATTCCTTTTTCAAATTGCCTCTGTAGCGCTTGTAAACTTTCCACATGCCAGACATTTTACTCATTTTAGTTATTGTCCATATTTCTCATGAAGATTTCCCTGGAAGTTGGAATGTATAGTTTTTTCTTCACTGCTTGGTACGTGTGTTCATTGCTCAGTCGTGTCTGGCTGTGATCACATGGACTGTAGCCTGCTCGGCTCCTCTGTCCATGGAATTCTCCAGGCTGGAGTACTGGAGTGGGTAACCATTCCCTCGTCCAGGGGATCTTCCCAAGCCAGTGATTGAGCCTGGATCTCCTGCATTGCAGGCAGATTCTTTACCGTCTGAGCTACCAGGGAAGTAGCACGTGCTTAATAAGTATTTGATGAATGTAGGTTGGAGAACAGAATAGTCTATCAGATTTCTTTTCAAAGATGCCCCTGATGATTTTGATAGGACCCATTTTGGAGAAGTAGTTGAAACATTAGTCTTATTTTAAAATGATGACAGCCAAAGATATATTTTGAAGGATCAAAGAAAAACCAGTCAGTGGAGGCCGTTGTCAATTTGAAGATGGTAGTGACTTGAGGAAATGAAGGTGCCAGGAGAAAGAGCAAAAGTCAGATGAAATGAGGAGCTTAGAGATGATCATGAGAGTGCTGTTGAGGCAGAAATGGATAGGATCCCGGATTATGAAGAAATTAGATCCGATCAGTGGAAGCAGCACCAGCTCCAAGGGTGAGCTGGCCTGGCAGCTGCTCAGGGCCCTCTCTGGGCTCAGGTGAGGCTTACCCTTGGTTTTGTTCTATGGTTGTCGTCTTGAAATTTTTCCATATTTTTTGAATAAGGGGTGCTGTGTTTTCACTTTGCCAGGGGCTCCAACAGCCACAGCCAGTTCCGAAGACCACGTCTTCCATGGTCGCATGGGCAAAAGAAATATGTCTAGACTACAGGGGTAATTTTACAGGTTTGGTGGCAGAAAGTTGAGCTTGTCTGATCTGATAGTTTTGATTTGTTTCTTTTTCCTATGAAGTAGAAAATGAGATTAGCAGCAAAGAAGGTGGGAAGTGTGAGGAAGCTGAGAGTGTGATCTGGCATCGGGAGATGGGGAAGGGCAAGGTCCATCAGTCTGCATCCAAACTGTGGCTTTGTCACTCACTAGCTCGGTGACTTTGGGCAAGTCACTTAACCTGTTTATGCTTCAAGAGAATAGTCTGTAAATGGAGATTGTAATAATACCTTTGAAGGTTGCCTGGCACATAATATTCTGGAGAATAAGAGAGAAAGGTAACTAGGAGACAGACCCATACATCTTTTCTTTGTGTAGTTTCTACATCTACATGGATGGCAAAGAAGTATGTCCTAATCAAGTAGAAAATGACTAGGGTGCATAAAGGAAAAGCTGTTTTTTTCCCAGTATAGTACAAAGTAGATTTCAATATATTCTCTATGTGATGAAAATTTATCTGTTTTTCAGATGTGAAAAAGAAAGATGAAGAAACAGCACAAGATCAATTGGAAAAGCCCAAAGATGAAGGAAAATGAAGGCTCATTACCTATCATAAGTGCTGAATTTCTTCACAGTGAAAGACTTAGTGGCCCTGCTTTCCTGAGATGTTTGATCTGGTAGTAACTATGGTAACATTGCAGCCCTAAGCAACATGTGTGTATTAGATAATTTTGTTGTGATGCTACTCACTTGGATTACAACCATGATGTTCGATGTAGGTTATTAAAAGGCGGATTACTTCCAAACTGCACCCAGGAGAGAGGTTAAGAGTGCATGATCATTTAAATACATATCTTTTGTCTATAAACCCAGCTAAATCCACTGTTCTCTTGGATTTCTTAAGCCAGATATATTTTAAATTCCATTTTTATGGTAACAGGTAAACCATTTCTTGGTAAACATAAACCAAACACTAGTAATTTAAAACTGTGTGGGATTTGTAAGAAATTGTGTTTTTTGGTGAGAAAGGTGATAGATTAGCCAAAGAAGGATAGATTAAAGTATGTTTTTATCCAAATATGAAGCTTTTCCCCCCAAACCTTAAATAGATTTGGAAAAAATAGTAGAAGTTTGACAGCTCAAACATCTCTAGAAAATTTTTGTCTGATGTATTTTGCTTCTAGTCTATGCATACTGTGATTTTTCATGTGAACTCTTAAAATGGAAAATTTGTGATGAATAGTTTATATGATATATGCCTATTAAATGAATCTCACTATCTTCCTTAATTTCATGTGCATATGTGTGTGTGTATATTTTTCTTTAATGTGAATTACACAGAACACTTTACTAGTCGCTTTGTACTGTCTTTTCTTATTTTCAGGGCTTTTGTGTTTATGACTTGTTTCTTAAATGATTTCCTCAGGAATGCAGACCTTAATTTTTATATCTTTCCTAAACTAGCTGACATAATAGTAAGCACTTAAGTGTTTAGTGAATGGTACAGGCAGAAATAGCAAAATACTTGCTTTTAATATATATTTAATTATATATTTTAAAAGGAATGAAACCAAAACCAAAGCTTTAGTAAATTTTGATTTATTTGATATTTTAGGAGAATCATGGAATTCTGAATTTTTAAAGAAAATGTGACTAATGGATTTATTTTTATTTTCAGATCTATTTGCATGCAGTATTTTATTTGATTGTTGACTTAGGCCACATCTGTATACAGTAATCAAATAAACTCTTTCACTATTAAAGAAACTTACTACTGACCCAAGTCTTCTTCATTTTATCTCCTACAGTGTAACAGATGGAATATGGTGACATTTTAATGAGGGAAGTGAATAGTCTTTGCAGTATAAAACACCTCCCACTTCTCATTTCATTGAGAAAGTTCATCTTTAAATCTGAGAATACAACAAAGGGGTAGATTTCAAAGAATCTGGTTGCTTTAAGTTCTTAAACACATATTTTTCTTTAAAAAATAATCAAAAGTAGTATTTTAGGTGTAGTGCTAATTTAACATTCAGTAAAATATCTTAGAGCCGTAAAAATTAGGTTTCTGAAGTTATTTAATGACATGATATTATATAGTCAATATAAAGAGGAATTTGGAGAAGGAAATGGCAACGTGCTCTAGTATTCTTGCCTGGGAAAGCCCATGAACAGAGGAGCCTGGTGCACTAGAATCCATGGGGTCTCGAAGAGTCAGACGTGGCTGTATGACTAAGCCCTGCACACAAACAGGGGTTAGGCTGGAGTTTTCAGGTTGAGGGGAGTGACAGTTTGGCCTCCTGAGTACGTTTGGTAACATCTGGAGCGTTTCTGGCTGCCACTAGGAGGGGAAGGGGCAGGGAGAGAATGTGCTCCTGGCATCCAGTGGGCAGAGCCAGGGATGCTGCTAAAACTTCTCAGCCCTACGGGGCAGACCGTCACAGCAAGGAACTATCTGACCACGTGGGTCAGTAGCACTGAAATTCAAACTGTCAAGCACGTGGATTTTGGATTCAGATGACCCGGGTTTGAGTTCTAGCTGTATGATCTTGGGCAATTTACATCATGTCTCTAAGTTATATCCTCTTGGAATGGTATTAGTAATGGTACCTAATTTATAGGGTGCTATATATATATATATATATTTATATGATATATGCTACGTTGCTTCAGTCATGTCCAAATGTTTGTGACCCTGTGGACTGCAGCCTGCCAGGCTCCTCTGTCCATGGGATTCTCCAGGCAAGAATACTGGAGTGGGTTGCCATTTCCTTCTCCAGGGGATCTTCCCGACTCAGGGATGGAGTCCGTGTCTCCTATGTCTCCTGCATTGGCAGGCAGGTTCTTTACCACTAGCACCACCTGGGAAGCCCCTTATAGGGTGAATGGAAACAATAAAATATGTGGGGCACTTGGCTAATGCCTGGCAAAGAATAATTATTCAATAAATTAGCTTGGAGAAGGCACTGGCAACCTACTCCAGTACTCTTGTCTGGAGAATCCCATGGACAGAGGAGCCTGGTGGGCTGCAATCCGTGGGGTCACTAAGAGTCGGACATGACTGAGCAACTTCACTTTCACTTTTCACTTTCATGCATTGGAGAAGGAAATGGCCACCCACTCCAGTGTTCTTGCCTGGAGAATCCCAGGGACAGGGGAGCCTGGTGGCTGCCGTCTATGGGGTCGCACAGAGTCGGACACGACTGAAGTGACTTAGCAGCAGCAGCAGCAAATATTAGCTATCACCATCATCATTTTTATTCTAAATGTTTTTGCCACTATTTTCTGGTATTGGAGGTGGATTTGTTAACTTGGCTATCTTCTGCTTTCCTCTGTGATTTCACAAGCAGTCTCAATCTTAGAACTGGGAGAAGACACTCTGATGGAAATTGACAATTCATGATAATTACCACATTAGTGCTTATTCAGTCATGCTAATGAGCCATTGACAAGCGATGAGTATTACCCTTTAACAATGAGTCACCTCCCTAGTGTTTTATGACAGTTACTGACACAAAAACAGAGTTTTCAGTCAGTATTTAAATGAGTAAGTGTTCCACAAAAATGTAAAAGAGAAAAAGTAACAGATCTTGAGTCAGAGTATTTATCTCTCATTTAGAAGATATTTTTTTCTCATTTAGAAGACCAGAAATGAAGCCATGTCCCTCCTCATTGTTGCTAATAATGACACATATTCTTAATCATGTATGTCCTAAATCACTTTTTCATTACAACACACACACAAATCTCTCATTTTATGCATATAATATTTTATCTTACATGAGGTATCAAGCTTGTTGAATATTTGCCAATGAAAGGATTTTTTGGCTGAAAAGAAATCCAGAAAAAGAAGAATGAGAGGTCAGTGGTAATTTAAAGACAAAATTGAATTTACCAACCAATTTCTAAAAAAAAAAAAAAAAAAAAAACAGACTATTTCTGGGAGCCTATAGTATTTTGTCATAGCAAAGTCACTTTAAACAAAGCCCCTAGTTGGGGCTCATTCAAGAAAGTCTCCATGCTCATTTTTGCTATTGTCTTTTTACAAGCCACTTGCTCTAGTCAATAACTATATAAAGTCTTAATTAACACTGTCAGAGAAACCAAGACAAAAGGGAATAATAAAGTTAGAAAGAGGCTATCTGGAAACTCGACTCTGTACATAGGAGGAGAAAGAACAAAAACCAGTCTGTGTCATGTGCCCAGAGATTTTGTATGTGTATGTGTGTGTCATCTGGACTGGAAAGGTTTGAACCTTCTCAGAATGAGAGTGCCTACAGGGGGAGGTATCCTATTTGTGAAAGGAAACACAGCATTAACTTTCAGTGTTACTAGCTTGGGCAGATGATAGAGAGGAGAGAAAGAATTACTGAAGCACACTGGGTTGTTGCCTCATCTGTAGAATCTGACACCTCTAGTTCAAATTACAGCTCCGCCATGTGTGCTCATGACTTTATTTTCCTGTCTTTCAAATTCTTAACTGCATAAAATGGCAAATTATTATGAGATTTAAGTGGTAAGCTGCTAAGGAAAATGCCTGGTACATACCAAAGCTTATTCTTAATTGTTATTATTAATTGCATGAACATAAACGGTGATGGAGACTTCAAGGTAAATGCCCTAGGTCTTATTGGTTCTTTCTTTGTTGTTTACCAAAGTAGATTTTTCTGCTAATCTTTCACTCTCTTTTCTGTCCACCAGCAGCACCTCCTTAGCTAAACCTAAGACTGATTAACTAGAATGCACTCCATTTTTTTTCAGACTTATTAATGATAACTCACAGAACATCAAAATCTGCAGCTTATTAAAAATGGAAGCATTGACTCAAAGGGCTAGAGAATGTATTGTTACTGTTAAAAGCCTAGAATGGATTTCTTGTTGAGCACACAGTGATAGGAAAAATGATCATCATAGCCATCCTTTGAGTGACTGGTGATTACTAAGCACCCTTGCCGACCCTTTTGAAGCTTTATAATAATGGTCATACAAAAATGATTCATGATGTTTCTCATTTTGCAGATGAAGAAAATGGATTCAAGAGGGACTTCAGGAATTCACTCAAGTAAGAAAATGACAACTGTGGCCTTGGATAGGGCTCTCAGGACCAGGATATGCTTTTCCTATACTGCTCTCAAGGACCCCTTTGCTTCAGACCATCTCATCCACAAGTTTTATTAAATTTGTGAAAAATGTCATTGGTAGTTTGATAGGGAGTGCAAAGAATCTGTTGGTTGATTTGGGTAGTAGAGTCATTTTCACAGTATTGATTCTTCTAATCCAAGAACATGGGATATCTCTCCATCTGTTTGTCTCATCTTTGATCTCTTTCATCAGTGACTTAAAGTTTTCTGCATACAAGTCCTTGGTCCCTGTTGTTCTGTTCAGTTGCTAAGTTGTGTCCAACTCTTTGTGACCCATGGTTTAGGTAGGCTTATTCCTAGGTATCTTATTCTTTTTGTTGCACTGATGGATGGGATTATTTCCTTAATTTCTCTTTCTGATTTCTCGTTGTTGTTCACTCTGTCGTGTCTGATTCTTTGTGACCTTATGGACAGCAGCATGCCAGGCTTCCCTGTCTTTCACTCTCTCCCAGAGTTTGGGATCAGATGCCATGATCTTAGTTTTTTGAATGTTGAGTTTTTTGACTGTTTAAGCCAACTTTTTTACTCTGCTCTTTCACCTTCATCAAGAGGCTCTTTAGTTCCTCTTCGCTTTCTGCCAGAGTGGTGTCATCTGCATATCTGAGGTTGTTGATGTTTTTCCTGGCAATCTTGATTCCAACTTGTGCTTCATCCAGCCCCACATTTCAAATCATCTACTCTGCATATAAGTTAAATAAATGTTCATTGTTAGTGTATAGGAATGCAAGGGATTTTTTGTGTTTTAATTTTATATCCTTCAACTTTTCTAATTTCATTGATTAACTCTAGTATTATTCTGTTGGTATCTTTAGGGTCATGTGTGTATAGTATCATGTCATCTGCAAACAGTGGGAGTTTTACTTCTTTTCCAATCTGGATTCCTTTTATTTCCTTTTCTTCTCTGATTGCTGTGACCAAGACTTCCAAAACTATATTGAATTATAGTAAGTTAAGAGTGGGCACCCTTGTCTTGTTCCTGATCTTAGAGGAAAATGCTTTCAGTTTTTCACCATTGAGAAAAATGTTTGTTCTGGGTTTGTCATATATGGTTTTTACTCCAGTATTTATTGAGACACTATTTACAATATCCAGGATATGGAAGCAACCTAGATGTTGGTACATATATACAATGGAATATTACTCAGCCATAAAAGGAATGAATTTGAGTCAGTTGTAGTGAAGTGGATGAACCTGTTATACATAGCCTGTTACACAAAGTAAAGTCAGAAAGAGAAAAATATTGTGTATTAACACATATAAATGGAATCTAGAAAAACAGTACTGATGAACCTATTTACAGAGAAGAAATGGAGATGCAAACATGGAAAATGGACTTGACACAGCTGGGGAAGGACAGGGTAGGGCCAGTTGAGAAAGTAGCATTGACATATACACCAGCACGGGTAAAATAAATAATAGTGAGAAGCTGCTTTATAACACAAGGAGCCCAGCCTGGGGCTCTGTGAAGACCTAGAGGGGTGGGATGAGAGGCAGGAGGAAGACTCGAGGACCATGTATAATTATGACTGATTCATGTTGTTGAATGGCAGAAATGACCACAACATTGTAAAGCAATTATCTTCCCCACCAAAAAAAAAAAAAAAATTTGGTCTGAATTCCATTCAGGATT